AGAGAGAGAGAGAGAGAGAGAGAGAGAGAGAGAGAGAGAGAGAGAGAGAGAGAGAGAGAGAGGTTGAATGGCAAAATTGAAATATGGGTCAAATTGCGGCCGCAATCTATTTCGCAGTTGAAATGATTTTTTAAAATTTATGGAGCGTTTGTCCTGGAAAGATCACAACAAAATTTATGATTACTCCAACTTTCAGGTTTTTTCACGCATTCTTCTGAGCGCGAAAACTCACTGAATTTGTACTTTTTTAGTTGGCCCAGGTATGGCTGAGTGACAAAAATGGAAAATGTGCGAAATCGGCGCGATGATTATTTCGCAGTCTAAATGATTTTTTGTAAATTAAATGTTATATTATTATTTATGGAAAGAACACGACCTCATCTATGGATTCGCAAAATTTCAGATTTCTGTGCATGTTCGTCTGAGCACAAAAAATCGCCAAAGTTGCCTCTTGCAAAACGCCTGTTTCGTTGTGCCTGACCTCCCTGTTTCGAGAAGACGGGGCTCAATGCCTGGGCCTGAGGGCCCTTTTGCAGATCACATGCCCTCACTTCTTTTTGGGGTCCGCTTCTACCCGAGGACCGGTCCAATGCCCCCACTTCTTTTTGGGGTCCACTTCCACCCGAGGACCGGTCCTTCGTTTTTCCAAAAGTCCCGGTTCTACCAGAGCTAGCTGTAGGTAGTCCGCAGTTTTGCCAAGGACCGGTCCCCCAAATTTTTTTGCCCCCGAAAAACCCACTTGCGTCCTGGTCGCCCGCTGCCAAAAATGCGACACCTTGACACAGACGCCGAAGCCCACTATACCGCAGCCTAAGGGCTGCGAATAACGGACGACGACGAAAAATGTTCTCAGGGGCATAAAACGCACCCCTGACGGGCTGCGAACAGCATGTACGTTGGGTGGAAAGCAACGGTTCGAAAAAAAGGAGGAAGTCTGTACCGGGGCGCTACAGGCGCAGCGTGACGTGTGGCTGGGTAGGCCAGTACTGAATTCGAACTTAGGTCTGTCCCAACTGATGTATCTGACCGTCATTATGTGTAGATCCGTCCAGTCCAGGAAACTATGGTAGGAGAGTGAGCGAGCCTTGCATGCACCACGGTGGATCGTCGGAAGTGCGCACGCTTCTGTTCCACCTCCCAGGTCTATCATACACGTATCGCACGGCAATTTCCAGCTAGATTCATCCATTGATGTGATGTAGGAGAGTGAGTGAGTGGGGAGGATAGGAGCGTAGCTGCCAGCATACTGTAAACTACGTCGGACAGCAGACGTAGATCGCCTTGCCCGGAGATCAAACGTTGGCCGTACGATATCCACCATGCTTTTGTGTCCTGGTTGATTGTGTCTGAGGTAGTTGTTTTGGGGGTGTGTTGTCGCATTCGACGGATGAGGGCATTGATGACCTGACCCAAGCGATCACTTCCACCTGTCAGAGAAGTGGACACTTCTCACCGACAAATGGCACAATTGTGATTGTTGGCCACGTGGAAGCCGAGCACACACCCACACACCCACACACCCACACACCCACACACCCACACACCCACGAAAACACACACACAGAGAGAGAGAGAGAGAGAGAGAGAGAGAGAGAGAGAGAGAGAGAGAGAGAGAGAGAGAGAACTGCTACGCAAGCAGATGAGAAAAATCGCCATGAACACCTCGCCTGATCGGGTTTCCAACCAGCCAGAGTAGTCGTAGGTCTCTCTCTCTCTCTCTCTCTCTCTCTCTCTCTCTCTCTCTCTCTCTCTCTCTCCGACATAGATCACTCCTTTTTCCTTTCTCATTCTCTACCTCCCCGTCTCCATAACCCTATCTCTCTCTCTGTCCCCTCTCCGCCTCCTCTATCTCCCTCGCTCCCCGGCTGGCTGGAGGCATCTTTGGTCCATGAAACGTCGGATCTAAACCAAATTCGTCGCATACGCGTCATCGCCCTGTCGTCCTTAAGAAGAACTCTCTCTTCGGCGACGCCATCTCCATCTCCATCTCTTCCCCCATGCGGTGAAGCTCAGCCATAGCTGGTTCCTTATGCTTCCAGCTCAGCCATAGCTGGTTCCTTGTGCTTTCTGTACTTCTTCTTCTTCTTCTTCTTCTTGGGCGCGAAGGAGGATTGCTATGGAGGTTGACGACAACAGACTACACGATGCTGTGTTCAGCAAGGCGTCGCTTATCCGAAAGGAGATCGAGACGCTAAGCTTGCGGAAAATTCGTCGAATATTGGAAGAAGACCTTTGCCTGGCAGAAAATGCTCTAGATGAGAAGAAGGATGTAATCCGAGAGCTTGTAGATAAGGTAATCAACGGCGAGGGAGGCAGCGATTCCGACGAGGAGGTGGATCCCGATCCCGGCAATGGGGAGAAGTTAGAGAAGCGGGCGGAGGAGAAGAAGGAGGTGGAGGAGGAGGAGAAGAAGAGGAGAGCACCACCTGCTACCAAGCTAAGCGGGACTAAGACAAAGGGCAGGAAGAAGAAAGCTTCGAAAGACGGTGATGACAACGAAGATGACGACGACGGCGATGGTGATTGGGAGGACGATGAGGGAGAGGAGGAGGAGGAGGAGGAGGATGGAAGGGGGCGGGGTAGAGGTAGGGGTAATAAGGTAAAGGGACCGCAGAGGAAACTGCAACAGCCCCAGGTGCCGCCGCCGCCGTCGAGAGGTGGTGCAGGGGCACTTCGGCAACTTGCCAAAGGAAAGTCGGTACCGGGCAGTATTAAGACGACGACGACGACGAAGAAGAAGAAGGAAGAGAGCGAAGATGCTTCTGGAGGAAGAAATGGTGTGGTCATGGTCGTGGAGAAGAAGAAAGCAATGGCAGAGAAGAAGACGACGGACCCATCTCCCAAGGACACCGTACGAGCTGACCTCAGCAGCAAAGGGAGGAGGAGGAAGAAGAAGGCCAATAAGGACGCGATCGATGAAGATGATGATGACGACGGTGGAGTGACAGATGGCCTTTCAGACGAGGAGGGGGAGGAAGGGAAGAAAGGGAGTGGCGATGGCGAAGTAGGGGACGACGAAGGGGTGAAGGAGGAGAGGGAGGAGGTGGAGGACGGAGGCAGTGGGGAGGAGGAGGAGGAGGAGGGGGGTGGTAGTACTGGAGGGAAGAAGAGAACAGCAGTGGTCAAGAAGAAGACAGGTGTAAAGCGGAAGACAGAGAGCGGTGGCGTACGAGGGAGGGGGCGGCCGAAGAAGAGGAAGAAGGCTGATGACGAAGAAGGAGAGGACGACGACGACGAAGAAGAAGAAGATGAGGATATGGAGAGATCTTCTGGTGAAGAGGAGGAGGAGGAGGATGGCTATGGCGGCGGTAGAGGGGGAGATAGTGACGGCTTAGGTTCAGAAGAAGACGGCAGTGAGAGGGAGAAAGCAGCAAAGAGGAGGAAGAAGAAGCAGCCGCAGCAGCAAATAGCAGCGAAGAAGAAGGGCATATCGGCAATTGCCGGGAGCTCCGCCGCTGCCAAGCCCTCCGTGTATAGCAACAGGGTGGAGAAAATAAAGGGTGTAATTAGGTCTTGTGGGATTACTATTCCGCCTATTGTCTATAAGAAGGCTAATCAAAGACCTGTGGATGAGCGGGAAGAGTTTTTGATATCGGAGTTTAAGGACATCTTAGACCGGCACAACCTCTCATTGAATCCGTCAGATAAGGAAATTCGCGCAGTGAAGCGGGAATTGGAAAAGAAGAAGGATCTGGAAGGGATTGATTTAAGCAATATAATAGACCAACCGCGGGGAAGAAGAAGAACGGCAAGCTACAGCACCGCTCCCGTTTACAAGGTGGATGACAGCGAAGACGAAGAAGAGGAGGAGGAGGAAGAAGAAGACGACGATGATGATGATGATGAAGGGGTGGAGGAGGAGGAGGAAGACGACGATGAAGGTGTTGGCGATGGCGACGGTGATGACGATTGATTAACGGCGCGAAATCATCATTAATATCCTTAACAACATCTCAGCAGTCTTGCGAACAAACAATGTAGGAGGGGGAGGAGGAGGAGGAGGAGGAGGAGGGAAGAGGAGAAAAGAGAGGAGAAGGGAGGAGTAGAAAAAGAGGAGAAGGGAGAGGAGAAAGAGGAGAAAGTAAAGATTGGGGGGGGGGAGAGGGAGGGGGGGAGGGAGGGAGGGAGGGAGGGAGTTCATTGTCATTCCTTGGAAAAGCGATGACGAAGTACGGAGGCGGCTAAGGGAAAGGGGGGAGGTCGCTAACGGAGGGCACTCACTGACGGATGTCTCTACCGGGGAGGTCGCCAACGAAGGGCGCACGGACGGAGAGGTTCTCCTCTAACAGGGAGGCCGCTAACGGAGGGTAGCAACGGTGGGCTCTCTAGTGGGGTAAGGTCGCTAACGGAGGGCACTGACGGCGGATCTCTAACGGGGAGGTCGCTAACGGAGGGCACTAACGGAGGTTTTCGATGCGCGGAGGGAGGGCACCAACGGAGGGAGGGCAGCAACGGAGGAGGGGTCTTCTCTAACGGGGAGGTCGGACGTCGTTAATTGAGGGCACCAACGGAGCCACTTAAGGAGGTAGCTAACGGAGATCTCTAATGGGGATTTTGCTAACGGACAGGCACCAACGGAGGGAGGGGAGGGCACCAACGGAGGAGGGGTCTTCTTTAACGGGGAGGTCGGACGTCGCTAATGGAGGGCACCAACGGAGTCGCTTACGGAGGTGGCTAACGGAGATCTCTAATGGGGATTTTGCTAACGGACACCGTCAGAAACGGAAGTGGTGGGGACCAGCACAGCAAGCAGCACATGCGTTTCGAATGTGGCGCGCGCTTTTCATTTTGGCGCGCTTTGTTAATCGGGTTTCTGCCGGGCCTGTTGCTATACATGAGCTAAGGGAGGCCGTGTGTTAATTGGACGTTGCGTGCGTCAATTCCAGATAAGCGAAAATGGAAGATGACCTTTTCGAATGCTAATCATCATCATCATCATCATCATCATACCCATCATCGAACGGAAAATGTTATCGAGAAAATGTATAACCGAAACGAAGAAGACAACAATACGCCGGTGATCGGTCATAATCCATGGGAACAGACGGATGAGATCGTTCGTTCTAATCAAATCCAACGTATAGGAGGAGGGAGGCTGTTTTCTGTCTGTTTTCTGTGGCACAAATGGGTAAGAAGAGGGAATGGTGGTGACGGGAACAAACGGATGAGGGAGAATTGATAACGGGGGAACAAACAGATAAGAGGAGGCAATTAACGAACCGTCGGCAGCGAGAGGATATACTTGTTTTTGTCGTAAATATTTGAAGCAGCACACATTTAAGGAGATCTTGAGGGGCGGGTGTGATGGCCCGGGGGGG